TGTGCATATCTTGAGTGTATCCCGAATTCCCTTGGATAGATAGATAGATTTTTGGCGATTGGTGAACAATTTTCTCCATCCCTAAAGGTCAAAAGATAACTAAAAGCTGTAAGTGTTTATTTCAGTACGCCACGTTATTTAACGGCCGTTTATTACGTACTGGTACGTACCGTCCGCTTATGCAACCGCGCGATTTAATCTACGTCACGAATTTACCTTAAGTTCACTAAAATACCCCGGGGTAGGCAACTAGGCCGCTTGCCTTTGTTCTCTCGTCTGCTGGGTTAATCCAATTATTCTGACATGTGGGGTGGCCATCTATTTACACAGCGATGACAGATTCGACTGCAACAACCAATGAAAAAAGAGACCATAACGGTAAAACGAGCTTCTTCGGCTCTTCGCTCGGAACCGAACGTTAGCGGAAAAAAAAATCGGGGTAATCTGAAACGAGCATACGTGATGCAGCGACCTTGACCTTTTAAGTTGAATTAAATAAATATAAAACGGTTTCTTGTGCGAGCGTCAATGTAATTGTTGCCTAGCACTCTGACTATTCTACAACTAGTGTGAAAAATCGTTTAGATTTAAACGGCAATAAAAGCAACAAAGCCGATGCGGTCACGTTATTGCGCGATCTGGACGAGTGGTGGTCAATGGCAGAACTGATGACTGACATTTCGMGGAAGCTGTGTGCAAGGGATCGCGGTAGTTTTTTATTGCGGGTAATTACAAATGATACAGTTTTTATTCGATACGGTTTTTATTGGGATTTTTGATCACTGTCTCACAGCGCCGGTGCCAATAGTTTAACGCAATTGAGGAGATTGGCTTTTCTTGGCCCTCCCCTTCCGTTTTTCCCTCCCCCCTCCTCTAGAGCCGCCACGCAGGCTAAAGTGAACCTTTCACTGCATCACATATGCTCGTTTCAGATTACCCCGATTTTTTTTCCGCTAACGTTCGGTTCCGAGCGAAGAGCCGAAGAAGCTCGTTTTACCGTTATGGTCTCTCTTTTCATTGGTTGTTGCAGTCGAATCTGTYATCGCTGTGTAAATAGATGGCCACCCCACATGTCAGAATAATTGGATTAACCCAGCAGACGARAGAACAAAGGCAAGCGGYCTAGTTGCCTACCCCGGGGTATTTTAGTGAACTTAAGGTAAATTCCTTAACTATATTAACGATATTAGTGACGTAGATTAAATCGCGCGGTTGCATGAGCGGACGGTACGTACCAGTACGTAATAAACGGCCGTTAAATAACGTGGCGTACTGAAATAAACACTTACAGCTTTTAGTTAGCTTTTGACCTTTAGGAATGGAGAAAATCGCCCACCAATCGCCAAAMATTTATCTATKTATCCAAGGGAATTCGGAATACACTCARGATATACACAAGAAGTCAGATAAGTGAATTTCTACGATACTTAAAGCTATAACAATCGTAATATCATTCAAAAACTGTTATGGTTGTCCTGGCGCCCTTGGTACAGTGATAACTTTTAATATGTGAATTAATAATTTCTCAGTACGGCGACATCTATTCCAGATGCTCATTCTGGACTTCGCATCCTGGRCGAGATTTCTAAACCTTTCACTCCTAACTGAAAAAAGATTTCCTCCTTCTTACATAAATGAAAATATTGTTATATTCGACATGAAAGCTKGACAATGGAAAAGATTTAAGAATATTGATATGATTTGAAATCCAGATGGAAAATGTTCCCTATACAAAAGTACACAGGTATTGACTGCTTGTGAGTAAAGCATGAAATAGAATAAAAGAGGTTTGTATAAACAAAAAGTGAAGAAATGCAAAAATGAAAGGTTTCACTTTTATAAATAAGTGCTTTAAACTTTTTGTTGTTGTTTTTTTCAGTAAATTACGTAGCAGTCTGAAACTGTCTTAAAAGATGTACATCTATTACATACATTTTTTAAAAGATTCGCAAACAAGGTTATACAATTTGTTTTTAATCATTTCAAATGTACATGTGTTAAATACATAAAACAAACAAATCTTAAATTAATATCTCATAAAATATTATAACAGGAAATATGCAAAAATATATATTATCTAAGCTACAGCCGTATATTACCATATACTATATTAAAAATATATATTATCTAAGCTATATTACCATATAGCTTAGGATTCAAAAAAGGTTTAAACAAACGATTAGATGAATAAGAGCACAAAGAGCGTGCAGTTACAAAATGATCTAGGAGATTTGAAAGATAAGAAGAAGCATTTCCATTTAAAAACTTAAAAATTATCACACTCATCCACATACCTTCAATAGCTGGCAAAACAAGAAGAGCAAGAAAAATGATGATCATCTTCACTGTTCAATGACCAAGTAACTTAGCCCTTGAGATCGACATGCTATATTACATCTTTTTTGAATAGATGTTTTCTCACCTGCTTYCATGGTTCGTACACGTTGTCAAGACTGGGCTATTCAGCTTGGGAGAAGTCGTGTGGCGCCGAAGAAAATGATTGCACAGTCCTTTTGCTTCATGATCTGTTCAAATAACCTTTCATGAGGTAAAGAAAATTTAGACATTTGAATTTGAAAAGTCATTTCAGTGTGTTTGCTATCTAAGCCAGCAGTGTTGTAGAAGGACGCAGAGTTAAATATACAGGGACTTTATGCCTAAGGAAACATAATAGAAGTCAAAGCCCCATCATCCCGGCTGAACATACTTACATGAGCTTGTATTTTCTATGATATAGCAAAACCTTGAATCATGTTTTATTTTAAATTATTTATCAGTATATTGTCTTAACTTTTAACCACTAATTTTGAAATAAGAATATTTCAAACAAGTCTAAGAAATCAGTTTATATAAATGGCATTGCAAATTATTACAATTCATATCACTAAGGCCTGCAATATCTTTTAGTTAACTTTATACATATAATTAAATTGTGAAGAAAAAGGAGAAAGAAATCCATAAAATGGGAGTGGCAATCCATTTAGCAATCTTTTTTGCAAATTATTGAGCGCTTGGGGTAAAAGATCACTTCGTTTTTATAAGTGGAGGAACGTTTGTATTGTTTTGTTATGTATATATCAATAAAAATACATGGAATACNACAACTTTTAGTGTTAGTCTATCGCGAACGGCATGTCCATTTGTTGTTTTTTGATTGCAAAAGTATCCAAAGGATCAAACGTCGATGGAACGTAACACCAGCAGAGCACCATGTGACTTTGGTATTCCTGTGCTATCAAACCAAGAAATTATGGGAAATTTTGTTACTTCGTAGGTGTGCACGTGATTGCCTGATTATTATGGTTTATTTAACTCTGGGCTACCTGTGCCCTACTAATCCAATGTGTATCATTGGATGGAAGTTTTACTACTCTGAGCATGCTCGTAATATTTTCAATCTGTTTCATGAAGAACAGCACTTCCCACACGGTTCTCAGTAAGCCAAAATATTAGTATATAATTCAAGCAAAATATAATTACTTGCTATGAAGCAGTGTAGGCCCATAGGAGATGACGTTATGGAAAAGAGATTATGACATAATACAATACATGACGTCGTGGTGACGTAATTACACAGGAACCCCGAATTAGAGATGTTTCTAAAGGAACTTCCGGAAGTCCTACAATTATTTGAACTTCCGGTTGACCAAACGCGACACGATAGATAGATAGATAGATACATTGACTAAAAGGTAGAACTAAAGTCGGCCTAGCCATAGGCTAGCCCGACTAATAACCCTTACGTAATTCCCTTTGGGAACAGATTAGCAATGTACATAATGGTATTTTGTTTAATATGGTTTAATCTTTGGTTTAATCTTTGAATAAATAATTCTTCGCAGATCTCGCGTTTGAGCTTATGTTTGGAAAAACAAAGAATGGACCAATTAAAATGCTGCTGTGGGGTTTCCTTTAGGTGCTTTGCTGGTTTTGAATAAATGAGGTGACGCTTTTGACCGCCATCTTGTCCGGTAGGCAGTGTCGCAAAATAACAAGTAATGACCGGAAAATCGATGTCAAATAATTTCCGCTGAATTCAAATTCGGAAACAGTTATCAATTGAAAACGTTAGATACTGTAAAAAGAAATTAATTGGCCAAGTTTGAAGGGCGTACTTGATCTAGAGAGCGAGTAAACTCATTTTTAGTTCCCCATACATTTCTTTGTACTTTCTGGGATCATCAGCGCGTGATGCGCGTGAGAAATACAAAGAAATGAATTAAGAACTAAAACCTTGAAATGTTCTCGCTCCCTAGATGAAGCACATCCTTCAAGTTTGGCCAGGTAACTCCTTTTTGTAGTATCTAATGTTTACAATTAATAATTCTTTTAGACTTTGAATTCAGCGAGAATTATTTGGCATCGATTTCCTGGTCATTTCTTGTTATTTTGCGACACTATGCCTACCGGTCCAAGATGGCGGCCGAAACCGTCACCTCATCTATTGTGGTTATGATTCTGGTGTTCTTGTTTTCGGAATTTGAAGTTCCTGAGTGTTTCTCCAATGTAGTTCTGTCCACATGAACACTAGCCTTCGTAAACAACATTTGATTTCATAATTATTACAAATATACTACTTTTATTGTTGATAAGAAACTAATAAAACTCATCATATGTTAGGTTGCTTAAAATGAAACTTTTAGCCTGATGGGTTCTTAATTCAAATCTCATGGGAATGATTGGAAAACGATCAATTTCTCTCTACTGTTTATTAAGGTCCAAGAGTCATTTAGTTGGCTTCCAACTGAAAGATCAGAAACATCCCGAACTTCAAAGCTTGAATATGCATCAGCTATTAAATGAGTTTTGAAGAAGTTCAGAATTAGGTAAACAACCTCTCTATCCTCGGAGCCCGGCATAGCAAAATAAGAGTGAGGGCTTTCCATACATACAGTCAGAAATGGCCGGTCAGACTGGTACAATAAAACTTATGATAACAACATAGAAGTGAAAACCCATTGCCAGGATGAAATTCACCTTTCAAATACCTTTCACATACGAATCATGCATTAAACCTGAAATTCTAAAGTAGGTTCTTTTAAAATTTCTGAATAGGTCAATCATTATTTTTTGTATGTGCGCTTGCAGAAAATCAGAAACCTATATAGAGTGTTTTAGATTCCAGAATGAAATGTGATAAAGTGAGGTTTTTTTTTGAAATGTTAATTTCAGGAAGATGCAAACTTGCATGCAATATTTCAGATAGACTAACATCTGCCAAACATGCTCGATATTTACATATTACACGAAACCACTCTACAGCAAGAAAACTGATATTGCCAATTTACAATATTTGACTAAAAAAGAACACCACGATAGGGGTGCGTCAACAGGGCGCCGAGGCTCAGCACTTGTGTTGCTCTCACGGCGGTGTCAACTTACTGCGTGGTACGCGGTTCGACGCCCTAGATAAAGCCGTACATTTCTTCTCCTTCATTTTTTGAGACTTTGCAAGACTTTCCTTTTTTTCTTTTTTATATTGAATAATTATGAACATTTTATAAATGAGGGTTGATTTTTAAAGCCATTTATATATTTCAGCCCATGTCAATAAAAAAGTCAAGGGAGGTCTGTCAGCGATCGGCATTTGACAACCGACTCTAAACTACATCCTCTAAGAGAGCTTTAACCTCATCTAATGAACATCAATCTCCGAACAGTTTTCGATAAATACCTATATTCTCAGTTGCGATCAGTCTTCAGTCTCGAGTGAAAAATATTTTCTGAGATATTTTAGTTAGAAAAAAAAATGCTCCAGCATATCGTTACATCAGCATCCGCATTCTGTTGGGATTCGTAATTGTCTACGAATCGGAAAAATTTAAACTAAAATTTACTACATCATTAATAAAAATTCAAGAATCCTATCCTATAGTATCAATACTATTAATAACGTCCTTTCACGCCGTGAGACTAATACACAAGCCCTGAGCCTGGGCAACCTGTGATACTGTCTTGAATAAAAAGTTCAAGTAACCCTGATTCCATGCACC